ATCTGTTCTGATATTGGTAAGCTTTTGATTTCCCTCCGTGTACAACAAAAAAAAGAGTTTATTCTGTTTGCATCTAAGACTAGCAGATACCATGTGGTTTTGAATATTCACTTTAAAGGAATTGACATGGCTTTTAGAGCTGTAAGTCCTGACTCATGATCTTTGCTAAGAGATAAATCTATGAGGTCATCAGAAAATCACCACAGTCCAGATTCTTCCCATTTCTTAGGAAAGGCTTCCACAAACCAAGAGAAGACAATGGAGAGGTGTTTGCAGGATGTTGTGCAGGGTGATATACAACTAAAAAGTGTCAGGCTCTTTTTCCCAAAGAGGAGTTTCAGTAAATGATGTCAAATTACAGAACTCAATAGCTCACTCACAGTGATCCCATGTACAAACATGCAGTCCTGTGTACAAATATGTGACCTCTGAAACAGATGATTATATTGACTGAGGTGCTGGAATGTGCCCAGAATAAAACAACGGGGCTGGTGAAGGATCTAGAGCCCAGTTCTGGTTAGGAATAAGTGATGAACATGGGGTTGTTCAGCCTGGAGAAAAAGAGGTCTCATCCCTCCTACAACTGCCTGAAAAGAGGCTGTTGCCATGTGGGGGTTGGTCTTTTCTCCTAGTGGTAGGAGGAACAAATGATAGGACAAGAGGAAACAGCCTCAAATTGTATCAGTGGAAATTTAGGTTGGATAATAGGAAGAATTTCTTCACCAAAAGGATTTTCAGGCATTGGGACAGGCTGCCCAGGGCAGTGGCGGAGTCACCATCCCTGGAGGTGTTTAAAAGACAGGTGGACATGACAGCTGGGGACGTGGTTTAGTGGTGGGCTTGACAGTGTTAGAATAATGGTTTAACTAATTGATCTTAATCTAACTGATCCAACCTAACTGATGCATTGATTCTATGTATTTTGAGACAGAGCAAAGAAATTTGACATAGCAGAGAGAACCTGTTCTTGAAAAGACCTGAAAAAAGGAGACAAAAAGATCTGGTTGGATGTGATGTACAGCAGCTGAGACCCAAATGCACCAGCTTAGGCCAGAAATACCTCTAGTTTCCACAGGAAACTGTGTGCTGTTTCCCACAGGACCCAAAGAGAGGAGTGTTAGAAACGTGGCCAGTAAAAGCCTGAGGGATTCTGGTTAGAGATGAAAAACATTCTGGAAACACAGAATTTCCACATAGAATGTATCCTTCAGTTTGATTCTGATGCCTACTATGCACAAGAGAATTAATTTCTCTGTCTGTATTTCACTTTGGATAGATGCCTTTTAATATTTGGTTTATTTTTATGTGCTTCTGTAGGTATAAAAGTCCCTTCATAACAGAAATCAGGTAGGGTATGTGGTGAAAAGAAACTGAAAAGGTCTAGACTCAATCCTGCAAGTTGACAGCATTGATTGGACAGTCATATTTGGCCTTAAACTGATGACTCCCTTTGGAAGCATCAGAAGCAGCAAAACACCCTGGAACAATGTATTCATTAATTAGAAAACCTCCATTTGTGAACCTCTTGGTGAACACAAAAGGGAAGTGTTGTAATTTTAGGAGATACCTCTTATTGAAATTTGATTCAATACATATTAAATCCATGGGAGTCTATGACACAGCAGGAACTAACTGAGATTCTGCAATATGCAAGAAGAGAAATTCCATTGCTCTTTTATTTAGTTTTCACTGTGTGCTAAGCAGGACTTTGAACACTGAATGCTGGTTGGGAATGCCTTGCAGCACAGACATTATTAATAATGCTGAGATCCACATATGGTATTTCCTATTGCATCTCTATTACTGGATATAATTAGTAATCCAGTAGCCAGGAAAAGAACAGCAGTAACATTTACATGAAGTAAGGTGCAAATGTACCCAGAAACCCATACAGTCCTGATGTGTATCCATACAGATGATGATATGAGCTATGAAACCACCCATGAGAATTTGAGTATATGTCCATCAATATAGTACAGATGCCTCATTATCCAATATACTTTCTTTTCATCCTGCTACTATAAATTCAGAAATTTTGCCTTTACAGTTTGCTTCATTCAACAGTGACAACAAATGAATTGATTGTGGCAAAACCCCCCATATATCTTAATATACATTTTATTCTTTTGCCTATGTATTTCTGCTGAAAATCTATAACAGATCATAAAGAACACTTAAATAAAAACACATCTTAAAGGCACCCTGTGAGTGCAATTAGAAACATTTTCCATCATACAGCAAAGATAATGTATCCTAAACGCTCTTAATTTCATACATCTGTTATGCTCTGTCATGGATTTTTTTTTTCTCCTCCCAAGACAATTTTTGAAGGTTTCTGCCAATTTAATTCAATTTAAAGCTTTTAATGTCAGCTCAATGGGTCATGCCACTTTCTCCACATTTGTATTAGGCTTAGGGAAGGCAGAAATATGATGAACACTTTTCATCATATTCATGACAAATAGCCATTACATTCCTTCCCCACCCCCACCCACCCCATTATTTGCTGACCTTATTTATAATCGTTGTCAACTTTTTTGTCCCTTTAATGTATACACAAACATGCATATGTGCATGTACACACATATGCAGTATCATTTTACCTGGCATTTTCTTAGGCCACAAGTCCTTTGTATAGAAGTGCCTTCTTCATTCACTTGTTTTCAAAACAAGTCTGTAACTATTTTTGGACTGATTACTGAACAACAACTGCACATTAGTTTTTGACATTGTCTTGAAACTATGCTCAAAGGCTCTCACTTGACTTATTATTCAGTTTTTAAGAGCTACCAGTTCTGCTTGTGCAACAATCCCCAGGTTCTGGAGCAAGTTAGATGGGTTAGAGTTATATTTGTCAGAAAATTGTAATAACCTGGATATTACTATTTTTTTGTTCTGTTTCTAATACAGTGTTACTGTGAAAATTGAGCTCATACATTATGTCTACATCTGAGTAGTTACACTTTGACTATAAACCAGGAAAACACCCAAAATGTTCCTTTTTTTGCCTCTGTGTGGGAAGAGTGGAAGGATGTGGGAGGTGTGCATATATGAGGGAAAAATGCACTATTTGTAAATATGTGTGTATATTATTAATAGTCTGTCTTTAGTTTCAGAGAAATTGTGTGAAGCTCAAGATTTCAACTGAAAAGGAAATTACCTGTCCTATGGTGTGATGTATTAAAAGAGACACCACACTCTGACAGAGTAGTTCCTGACCATACATGGACTTGAAAAGTCCTAGGATATTCCATGCCTGGGAGAAAAATTTGGCATGAAGAGGTGGTGGTTCAGGATTTCCTGCTGCTAAGAAGCAAGATTTCCTCACAGTGGTCACTGGTAGATACAGAGACAAGGGAGCTCCAGGACTACTCCACAGGAAGCTCTTTGCAGCCTTTGACCATGAGGAGGCATGAGGAGATTTGCTGTCCCAAGCCCCTGGCTGAGGATCACCATCTAACTAAGGTGAACCTTCACCATTATCCTCACTCATACCATCAAACCCAATCTGTCTTGTTCATAACAACATGTTCTCCAATAGATGCTCAGTAGAGATTCTTTACCAGTAATTCCTGTGACCATTTTTCTGTCATACTGTAACACACAGCCTCAGCTTTGCTTGAGTGTAGCTACAAAGACTACAGACATCTTCCTTTAGACCAGTTTTGTTAGAGATGGGACCAGTCACGAGTGTAGACTTCTCCTCAAGAGAAGTTAACAAACATCTCTGCAACTACCTATTATCCCCTTAGCTGGGTTTTTATTTCCTTGATACTCACAATGAGTTTGCCATACTCATATTTCTCTAGTAACGAGGTACAGTCTGCAGCTCAACATTTGGGATGTGGAGCCTGTGTTTCCTCAATGGCAGTTTGCAAAGTTTTGCAAACATTTTGTTTGTGTGTTTTCAATTGAAACAGAATATTTTGACATTGTTGAAACAGAATTTCCTAGTTTGGCTTCACTGAGGTGACCTCAACCAACAACAAAATTCTGCACTGCAGTTTATCCTGGTGGTAAATTACTACCTGGATTTGTAAGTGGGTGGCTCGAGGCTACATTTGTCCCAAAGAACCAAGCAAAACGGCAGAAATACATCTCCTGCAGTGTCCCTGCATTGTGTGAAACCCATAACAAGCTATGACATGGCTCAGTGGGAAGTCTATGCAGCATTAGTGCTCCAGGTTAATTCAAATACCTAAATATTCTGATTGAGACAAGCCAGGTTGCAATTCAGCTTGATACAGTGGGGTTTATTTTCAAAAACCTTCTGCATCCCCTCCATCAGCTTAGCCTTTCACCCACACATTTTCATTATATTGAGATAAGAAAGAGATTTCCAAAAGGGAATTCCAACACAGGTTTTGCTATACATTGCTTCACCATCACCCTCCATGGTATAAGGAGGCTGAAACACATCAACATCTGCTAGCAAAACAAACAGTGAATTTGTTCTCCCAAGGGAATTACTGGCCAGGGAAATAAAACCAAGGGGAGGTTTTGTACTCTCAAACACCGGGAAAAAAACAGTCTCAGAAACAGTTAATATCATTACAAGAGCCTGGCCTTACAGCCCAGGGAGATGGTCCTGTCCTCATGACTGCACACCAGCTCTAACACTGCTATAATTGATCAGGAAAGCAGATTTAAAACATCGGTCTCAGGCTTTTCTAATTATCTTAAAATAATCGTTCCACCGCGTGAAATGAATACATCCACGAAGCAAACCTTGCAGGCTGCTCCCCTCACACTACCAGACACAGACTAATGACCCTAGAGAGCAGGCCAGCCCTTCTGATGCAGCATCATCTGCTCTCAAAGACTAAAGTGACGTGTCCTCTGCTCCCCACGTGTTCCGCGGACGGGGAATGAAGCCACATCACTCCTGACACAATCCCGACAATGACACCTGTTCGGCACAGACACCACCGAGGGACTTTCGGAGTCAGTCCCTCGCAGCTATGCAATCAAAGATCAGTTTTCAATGAAATATTACTTACTCAAATCAATGTTGTCTTGATTCTTCATGAAGGGTGCAGCAGGCATAAAATGTGATATTGATTTCTGAGATGTAGCCTGGTCCTCTCTTCATGGCCATTTCAAAAAATGCAAAGTATTTCTTTTCTTTCACACCACAGATCACGTCATCTTTACAAACTGGAGATCAAGGCCCTTTTATGTTGCCTCATATTTATCTCCTGCCCTTTTTTTCCTGTCCTCCTCTCTTCATCTCGCAGTTTTTCTTTCTCCTCCTTGAGTTTTTATTGCCTCTTCGGCTCTCCTCTTAGCTCCTGTTCTAATTTCTGCCTTTTTCCCTGCTCTCCTGAGTGCTTTTAGATTCTGATCTAATTTCTCATGTCTTCTCCCAGTGCTGCTCTCTCTCCTTTCTATCTTTCTGACCCTCACCTGTTCTCCTTCCTGCATCTCTGACTCCAACTCCGCTGCTCCCCTTACGATGCTCCAGCTCTGGATTTTCCTCCTCGTCGTTCCCCACATTGCTCTTGGGCTGTTTTTAGCTCTCATTTCAATATAGTTTTCCCTGCTGTATGCACAAATACAATGTCCCAGCCTCTCATAATAATACATCTCTTTTCTGGGTTGCCTCCCATTTCCACGATTAGCGTGCATATCTTTTTAATGAAAACTGTAGTAACGACCAGGAACAAGGCTTCCTAAATCTGTAATCTGTTGCTGCCAGCCTCCCATGAGAGACAAGGGGTTGCTTTTTCTTTTTTTTTTTTTTTCTTTTTTTCTTTCCAGAAGCCAATGTGACTTTAAGTCTATCCCACTGGTTTGGTTTAATTAATTTTGGAGCTAGAGAGGGGTCCAGACCAGAAATCATAAAGCTGAAATTGTCTCTCACTAGTCTCAGGCATGAAATAGGGAAGAATTAATATATTTTCCAGTTATATGTTGAACCCACAATTTTATACAGAAAAACTACAAATTTCTGAGTACACTACTGGCTAGGTCACCAAAATTAATATTTTAGCTGTGAAAAGTGCCCCAGAGGCTTGAACAGCAGTTAAGATGGGCTGTGTTTAGAGCAGCCTCCAATGCCAGCACTTCCCTGGAGCTCTGCATGGTGTCAGAGGAAAGGCTATTAAATGCTCAGTATCCAAATGATGTTACTAAGCAGTTTGCCTGTTTTGCCAAGATTTGAAAACAATTCTTGCTTGGTTTGTGAGAGCTGAAAAGATTGCAGTGCTTAATAACATGCCTACAAATATTCTGGTTGATGTTGACTGTCATCCCACACCCTTTGAGCTGATTGTATATATGGCAAAGATTTGATACCATAATTGGATGAACACAAAGCTTAGACTTAGGTCTAAACTCCAAATAGTTGTGGTTGCAAGCTTGAAATTCTCTTTCAATTACTTCATGTTTTATTTACTTAAGACATACTTTGAAAATACTTACCAGTAAATTCATTCATCAAGGTCAAGTTAAAAAAAGACTTATACGCTCTGTCAACTTGGTTTTTATTCAGATTAAAAATCAAGCAAACAAAAAATGCAACATCTAATATACTATTTTCAATACGTTTTATTATATTTGTTTAGATATAGGTCCCTTAAAACTAATATTAGTGAATTTTTCTTGCATCCATATTGAAGTTTATTTCCCATTGTGTGGCACCAGTTCCATCCAGCATGGTCCAAAGAGTTCTTCATTTTGTGTTCTGATTCCCTCTTGGTTCTGGTAGCAGAAAGTTGTATTTTCCATCAGGGTGGAGAAAAATATCATTGTTACCTTTGAGTTACTCAGACGTGGTTAAGACTGTGAGCATGAGTCTTCTGTGTGGAGAGAAAGTCCTCTGGCGGGCAGAAATCCAGAGTGTCCTGCTGGAGAATCTGATCCAAAGCCAATTAGAAGTGCCATCTAGGGTCCGATTACTTTCAGCTTGGCTTTGACCCAGGAACATGCCCTTCTTCTGAACAGGAAATCAAGTTTTGGAAACAAATTTAAAAGGATGACAAATGACTCTAGGCTCTGCTAATTTCCATTTCATGCAAGTTCTGTGGAAACCATTAGAGCTGCTCCTAATCTCAGTAGCAAAACTTCAAATCTCACACAGTTCTGCTGAAGTTATCTGGGTTTAGAGCAATGTGGCCTGACAATTTGGTTTAAGTTTTGTTTTGCTAAGTCACAGCAGTATTTAGCCCAAATTAGTACATCCTGCAAGATGAAACGTGAAACCACAGTGCAACACAGACACATTTCTCTTTCAAAGCTGTGTTTGGAAGAACTTAAGAACTTTGAACACTTTAAAGCTATTAAGTGGTCAGCTTTTGAGTTAAATATGCCTCAGCACTGACACTGATCTCAGAGGAATGCAACAGTCTTTACCACAAATCCTGTGCTAAGGCTTTCCCTCTGTTGTTCCATGATGTCCATGTCTAGTACATGATTTCATGGGATAGGCTAGGTGACAAAGTCACCCAGCCCTGTGTCACTAAACTGGAAGTTGTTCTCAGGAAGGTTTTCCCTGAAAGCAATGTCACTTTTTAAAGAGTCTTCTTTGGAAAATATTTTATTTCGCTATAAATGCCTTGAAGGAAGAATTTAAATTCAGTAGAATCTAATATAACATGTCGTTTTATATTCCAGCATTCCAGCAGGCAGAGGTAACACAGTTCAGTGAGAGCACACGTTCCTTCCAACATGCCACTTAGCTGAAATGGTGTGCATGTGCATTTTATGTATTTTCTCTTTGGTTTGGTCTTTAGAAGACTTTTTCAATTTACAAGCTTTAATTTTTCATAAATGTAACCACTTCTGCTTGACAAATAGAAGGCTGAATGAAATTTACTGTGAGGGTATTTCTAACTGAGTCAGAATCAATTGGATGGCTCAGGAAAATTTTTTGTTTGTTTGTTTGTTTGTTTGTGGGGTTTTGTGTGGGGTTTTTTGTTTGTTTTTGTTTTGTTGTTTGTGGGTTTTTTTGCTGTTTAGGCTAATTGGTGGGATTAGTCATTATCAGCTGGATAATTATGTGTATTGTAGACTCTGGAATTATTTCTACACCTTGGTAGGTAATGTGAGAGGTTTGAACCTCATAGGTACCTGCAGATGCTTTGAATTTAACTAATATTGAAAATTAGTCCAGCTCTCAGATACAAATATACCTGAATCAGAAGGTTCCTATGTGTTTAGTCCAAATAAATCCCTGGCTCTGTACTAACTCAAACTAAGAGAAATCGGGAGATAGGCCATATATAAATACTTTATAGAGTGCTGTGTACACTAATTAATAAATACAATTTTCTAAGAGCTTTCTGAACCTTGAATAAACACTTCTTAAACAAATGAATGCAAATTATTAATAGAAACTGTAATCTCCCTCTCTAACTATTATTCTTACTTGTCCCTAACTACTTTGATGCCAGAAGATTAGAAGAACAAAACCAGGATAGCTTTTCCAAATGGGAAAATAAAATGTTCCAAGGCAAAAAAGAAATAATTTTAAGTCTGAGGCCCTGTATAAATGGAAGAATAACAAATCTTGTATTGCCCAAACCTTGTTGTTGAACTTCTAATGGTAAAATCTGTGCCTCCCACTGCCCGTTAGATATTCTTGCGTGACTGCAGCGTTGTTTTATGGATGTGAATCAACCTTGCAATATAGGGTGACAAACAAAAAAGATGGAAAAATATATAAAATGGAAAAAAAAAATAAAAAAAAAAGGTCTAGTTGCCACCTCAGGCTTTAAAACTCTTCTTACACACTTCAGCACGAAGTCTATTAAAGTGGAATATAGTGGAAATACAATATACAGCAATGAATGTCTCCAAACCAGCAATTTAGCGCTGAAGCTGAGGGCAGTTCTTATGCACCGACTTTTAATACCGAGATGATTTGTGGTCTCACAAAGTTCCTGCCTTGGGCAAGAATTGTGCTGTGCTCTAATAGGTCTAGTTTGTTGACTGTCAGAATAATGGAGAAATTGGTAGCAGAGGGCCTGAGCGCTGTAAACAGCTGAGATAATTAGAAGGTCTGTCAGGAGGAGAGCGAGGCTAAAGCAGTTTACGTTCTGTCACAGGGTGGAAAGTATTCAGTCAGAAGGCTGCTGGATAATGTGGGATATGTTGCCTTACGTCCTAGCAAGCTTGTCTGGAGATGGGGAAAGAGTGCTTCTCGTCAGCTTTCAGTTGGCTTTCTCTGCCAGCTTTGCCCACTGCAGGCTTGCAAGAGTTTGTACTTCTTATTAATAAAATAATACATCTTGCAAGCAAAATGCTGACTTTCTGTTTTTTTTTAAGCCAAGCTGCTGGGTTAATAGGATGCTCAGAGTCAGGCAGGGCAGTGCAGGGGGGCTGCAGAAGCTGCAAGGGTTGAAGGAAAGCATTCGTGAAGAGAAGATATGAAAAGAATGCTCTCCACCCCCCAAAAAAAACCCAGCTGAATGTATGGTTATGTCACCACCTTAACGGAGGTTGCTCCTGTATCAACGGAGCAGTGCTCCAGAAGTTGTTAACATGGGAATTCTGGTGCCTTAGCCAAGAAACTAGACAGTAGGAAGTCTAGCAATCTAGAAATTGCTGTGACTAAGCCATTTCTAGGCAACGACATGCCTAGGGATGGAGTAAGCCAAAGTTTTCAAGGCTGGTTTGTGGTTTTGGTTCTTAGTTTAGGGTTTGACTTCTGGAAAGATGAAGGTTGGCTGTCTTCCCCCTAGAAAGTCTTGTGGAGTTCAGAAACCGGTTAGTCAAAAAGAAAATCACTTGAAATTGATGGTATTTCAAAAAAAATATAGAATTAGCAGAGGAATATAATACAGTTTAGTAACATTCAGGAATGAGTAATGAAGGAGGTTGCTGAGGTTAAGATCTTAATGCTTAATAACAAGCAAATAATATTAAGTTTTGAGTTATAGAGAAACGGGGGGAGAGGTGGGACAGGCACATGGCCAAGAGACCTTTGTCCTTCTCCTCGCTCTGCCATTAACAAGAGTCACACATTAACTTTGCTCCCACATGAGGTTCTGTACCTCACCAAAGAGCCTTGGGGATCCCTGGGTGTCAGATGATTTTCAAGTTGCTGTTTATGGATGCTGCCATTGCTTCCATCTCAGGGGGTAGAACTGGGAAAACAGACTCTTGCACACTGTTTTAATTTAATGTGGATCTCTCCAAGGATTGCCACATTTTCCCGGGTCTGTGGGAAAGAGAGAAGCTAGACACAG